AAACATGCCTTCACTGAAACAGGCATGGATCATTTTGGACCATTTCTCCTCAAACAAACAAAGAAGGCTTGGGGACTGCTCTTCATGTGCCTAACTACGCCGGCAATCCACATTGAAGCAGTGGAAGGACTTGGAACTGCTGATCTACTGTGTGCCCTACAACGCTTCATTTCAAGATGCAGAAAACCAAAAACAATAGGCAGTGACAATGGGACATCATTTGTCTCAGCAAGCCAACAGTTTGAACATCTGAAGAAGGAGACCTGCAAGGAGCTAACAGAGACAGCTTTGGAATCTTGGACAATTGAATTCAAGTTCAATCCACCACACACTCCACACTGGGGAGGCAGTTGGGAGTGGATGGTTCATGAGATGAAGAAGGACCTGAGAGCATCCTGTGACTCAGTGACAAACTTGTCTATGGATGCCTTCACCACAGTGCTAGCAAAAGCTGAATCAATTCTCAACTGGCATCCATTTGCATTTGATGATGACAAGAAGCCAATCTGTCCAGCGCAAATTTTAGCACCAGCAACAGAGATGGGGTTTGGTTTTCCAAATGGATATTCCATTCCCAAGATCCTGCATCAAGTTCAACAAGCAGAGAGTCATTTCTGGCAAAGCTGGTCAGAGCATTACTTGCATTTTTTGAGTGTGGACTGTCTTTCAACAAGGGCCAAGATCATTCAACTTCAGCCAGGAGACTGAGTACTTATTCCAGCTGATCATGGCTCATCAAACGTGTTTGGAGGAACTTGCTGGGAGGCTGCAACAGTGGTGACTCCTTACCTAGAACAAATAGACAATCCTGTACAGTCAGCTCTGATCAAAACCAACACAGGAAGGGAGATAACCCTCAGCACCAGCAAGATTGCTGTGGCTGAAACAGAAATACTGGAACAACAGCAAAAATGTCAAATCAAGGAGAATTTGAACAAGGTCACAATACACACTCCTTCAATTCAGATTGGAGTCCTAATTGGGGGGAGTGTCAGACTGTGTATTGAGGTTTCTTCTTCCTCCAGCAACCCAGGAATGCTAAAAGTTTTATAATGTGAAGCTTTCCCCAGGAATGCAAAACATTTTATAACATGAAGCTTTTGGAAGGAATGCAAAAGGTTTTTGAATGTGAAGCTTTCCCCAGCAACCAAGGAATACAATGCAATTTTTTGCAATGCTTTCTCCATCAACCAAGGGGAGCAGTACAATCCTAACCATATTTTTCCCCAAAGGCTGTCCAACAGTGTCCTGGGTTTTTTCCATTCACAAGGAGAACAAAGAAAAACAAATTTTCTGACTGAAGGGGTGAAAGATCCTCAAACCTTGGCCATGTTTCTCCCCCTTGTTGACAAAAATCTTGGGTCCACTTTGGCCAGCTGCTGCCAGATGTTGGCAAGCAAAGTCTGCCATTTTTTTTTGGTGCTCTGAGCCCAGATGCCCCTCAAAAAACCCATTCCCAGAAAATGGTCCAAGCTAGGAGGGATGTTTTGTGTACAGTGGCGCATTTTTGAAAAACATTTCAAAATCTTCAAAATTGTCACAAAAACAGCAAAAATTTGTGTGTTGAAATGTTGACGCGGAATTGTGTCCCCCGCACTTGCCCCAAATATTGTTGAATTTGGTTTACAATTTTGCGAGAAATTTCACTTCTAGTTTAACAAACTTGCAAATCTTCTATGGTTTTTGTTCAAAGAATTGTCATAATTTTGCAAATTTTTGCCCTATGGCATTCAAATTTTGGCTCTGCAAAGCAAACCATGTTGGCGCGTGTGTACAGGAAATTCAGAAAATTGGCGTATGCGTGATTTCCCATGTGAAAATATGTGCTGATGTGTTTTCTCTGTTCTGTTTTTTTTTGTATGTGTGTTAGAACCACAATGTGTGTGTGTAATACTAAATCACCTGAGCATAAAATCCAAATGAGGTGGTCTTTATTCAAGCACCATGCGCAGTATCTTCTAAGACAATCATCAAACAAATAGCACAACTCCAACAGGCAAATTGTAGAAGAGCCCTGAGTAAATCAAATTAAAAGTAATTTACTCTAAATACTTTGACAACTATATATATATAAGCAGCAGCAGGTGTGGCATTTCTGATAACTTGAAATGTGCAAATAATCTTTCTGATGTTTGTCACCCTGCTGTTGAATTTTCCAATATTCTACAGCAGGGTGACAAACATGAGAAAGATGGCACATTGATGGAAATTTCATGAAAGATTATGCATACTTATATAATGGTCAAAGTCTTCCTTGATAATGTTTTGTGGTGCTGTCTCAAGGGGAATGACTGTTGGGAAATACTGTATATAATATTTTCTTAGTGAAGGATTTGAATTGGCCTAAAGTGCATAAAAACATTCCTAAACATTGGTTTGAACCTTGGTACAGTAATATGTTCTCATGTACCACAAAATATGCATGTGTTTACTAAAACTTTGAAAGTGTACCTTTTCATGCTAATCTACCTTTAAACACTTGAGTATATACTAGTATATAATCTAGTATACCAGATTTAACACAGCTGTAGCATGTACATTGTTAAAAATGTCTTTTTTTACAATGTACATGCTACAGTGTTAAATCTAGTGTATAAGACTCAATCAAGTCCATTTACATTACAGTGGTACCCCACAGAATGAACCCCCTGTAAAATGAATGTTCCGCAAAACAAAAGTTTTTTTTGACAAAAATCAATTTTTTTTACCCCCACATTATGAACAAATTTCACATAACAAGCATTTTTTTCCTAAAAAATCGGAGAAATTCAAAAATTTCTATTATTGCTATAAAATATATAAAAAAATTACAAAAATCATAAACAATATTATTATTGGATGGGGAAGAAAAGAATGTTATTTAACACATTTTTTTTTGAATCAGCAATCTTGAAAATGCATAAAAAATCCAGCTGAACCCTGTGCAAATTCTGAGGACTATATTCACTTCAACAGATCATTATGGCGTTCAAGTTGACATCAGCCCTTCAACTGGAAGGATTGGGGTTCTTTCAATGAAGAAGTACTACGCTCACAAACTTTTAAATAAAGAAGTTATAGTACACCACATCTGAATGTTTCTTGCAAGTGTGCAAATTGAATTCCGCTTCCCTCCTGTTTTTTGTTCAATTGGCCCTCTTTCAATCTACGTTGCTCGTCATTGCTAGCTAACAACTTTCTGAACTACCTCCAACCGCTGTAACGTCATCTTTCTCAAAGCAGCACAGCAGAAACTGAATAAACTTCCTCTTACTTACACAGTCTTTTCAAAATAAAATCTATGATATTGTTACTGTACTGATGCATCACATGGGATATACGTAATGTTCTGCACTGCCATTCATCCATGATGTATATATAATCTCTTCATATCTGAACTCCAATGACAGGCAATTCTGTTCATATTTTCCCATCTGCAACTAGATAATGCAGTTCACAAAATTTTGGCTCAACCTACATATTCAGACGTGTACACACTTTGGTAATTGACTTGTAGCCATGACCACAGGATTTAATGTGGATGACCGTTGGAGGGCGGATGAATTAATGATGCTTGCTGCTCTTAAGTTAGAGCGACACCTATATTATCATTATTGATATCCGACGTGGATTGTTTGGGCAACTGCCGTGCTTGCCTGTGCGCAGTATTTTGGATTCCGCGGCGTAGCTGCTGGAGGGCAAATTTGGGAACTCTTGGTGTTGATATGGAAATTTAAAGTGCACTGAATGAGTCCAAATCTTCTCGTGGTGTGTGTAATCTTCTTGTGTTGGTAACAAATAATTTAGGAAATAAATATATGAGAGCTTGTTACCTTTAGGGATCCAGGCGGAAACGTTACAAGCGTATCAACAAAGTAACAAGCGTGTGAAATCATTCTTCACTGAGGTAGCAGGGTACACTTTATACTGGTCTATATTGTCGGGGAACAGAAACTCAATCACAGCAGTTTTTCTAAAGTTTTCATGGTTCCTAATTGGAACAAAGCTTCGATTTGACGTTCACATAGAGGTTGATGTCTGAATAAATCCCAAATAATTGTTGAAGTCTAAATAATTGGATGCCTGCGTAGGTCAAAGTAGACTTTGATACTACCCCCAACTTTGACCTGCTGCGGGCATCCAATAATGGCAAGACCAACCACTAGGTGTCATTGCTGCAGCCTTTGAAGGGTTGGCATAAGTGAACGGCTGATGTAGAATCACCAAAACCCTATTTTATGTATAAAGTAGGTTCAGCGCCATATACGGTATATTTTCGCATATACATGCATCACTTGTTTGATTTAAATTAGGATTGGTGTCATTAGGACTGATATAGTCCTTTACTTATTTAAACCTGCAAAAAGTTTGCTTGCACAAGTTGGACTTTGAAGTGATTTTTGAAGTATAGCCTTTGTTGGAGGGATTTATTTAGACGTCAACCTCTATGTGAACGTCAAGCTAGTTGAAGCTTTGTTCCAATTAAGAACTATGAAAACTTTAGAAAAACTGCCGTGATCGAGTTTCTGTTCCCCCACAATATAGATCTTCTTTTTAATTTGTAAGATAACCTTTGAATAGGCCTACCTCAGCACAGAAAATATATTTATTAATGATATGAAACTTGAATCGCTGATTGAATTATTAGAGCGTTTTTTGACATATTCCTCCTGGCAATGCATACCTTCCAAAATGATGGAAATTATTTTCTTATGGGGACTTTCCACAGCATTTTAAGACCCCCTGCTAAAATGTGTCTGCTGCTGTTTTTGTTTGTACTTTTGTGATGGTGCGTTCGTACGTCGCGATGGTAGTGACACCTGTATGCCGCATGTAGACTTGCGGTGAGGATACCGCGGGCATTTGCCGTGCCTGGCTGTGCGCTGTACAGTTAAGTTGGGTGGCAGTATTGAAGTGTACCCCGTGGATCGAATGGTGTGTTGTTGGGGTTGTTTCTAATATGAGCATATTCTTGCATCGTTCATGCCGGTCTCTATGATCTCAGTTGCTCACAATGACGCATTTGCTGATATTCCGTAGAATTACCGGCGATCGTTCCGTATGGACCCCCTCGCTTGAACTAAATTCCTGTACCCGACTGTGATGCTAGTGAACTTGGCCTGGGTCATTCCGAGAAAATTCCGCTAAAATGAGTACTACAGCTCAGCAAGGGTCCGTTCTGGACGTTCTCAAGAAGAAGATGCGACAGAGTCGCGAGGAGATGGAGAAATTCCAAGAGGAATCTGAAGAGAATTACCGCCAATGGAATTTGGAAAAGAAACGGCGTGAAGATGTGTGTCCCGAATGCATGTGCGAAATTTCTTAAAAAACTGGGATTTATATTTTCTCGGTGCATAGGCTGAAGCCGAAGTCGCAGCCTTGAACAGGAGAATCCAATTGCTCGAAGAAGACTTGGAAAGGTCCGAGGAACGGCTCAACACTGCCACTTCCAAGTTGGCCGAAGCTTCGCAAGCAGCCGATGAATCCGAAAGGTAAAGCATTCCTCTCATTTTCTTTATGGAACCACCTTTCGAGATCATGACGTGTCAACTCACCTCTAGTTCGTTGTGATTTGTTTGAGTTTCAAACTGATTTTTTTCGCAGAATACGGAAGGCTTTGGAAAATCGAACAAACATGGAAGACGATCGCGTGTCCATTTTAGAGTCGCAACTCGCGCAGGCCAAGATGATCGCTGAAGAGGCCGACAAGAAATACGAAGAGGTGATATTGGTGTAATTCAGACAAGTTCAGCTTGTGTCAACGTTTTCCGTAGAAAGTATCTCAGTTCAAAATTCTGATTCCGAAGAGTGAAAGAATGTGGCTGATCTTGATTAAAAATGAAAGTGATTCATTGCCGGACGAACTTACGGAGCTTGATCTTTCGTGATGAGTGTCTAAATTGACCGATTTCATGGTTGGCGTTCGTGCACAGTCACATTAATTCGATCAATTCATCGAGGAACTGAGTGAAACTTCAGATTAGCTTGTTCGATTTTTCTTGCGGTATTGGATTCCGTGGATTAGTACTAACTGCGTGTTGTGTTTCCATTTGCATGCTGCTTCGAAACCCGTGTGTCTGAACCTACCTGGGAAAATTCACATTCCATTATCAGGTTGCCCGGAAGTTAGTCATTCTAGAGACCGACTTGGACCGTGCTGAGGAACGAGCTCAGCAAGGAGAAACGTAAGTTTTATCCTTTCCTGAAGATCAGAAGAGGACGAAAGGAAGTCCTTCGTTTTGAGCAGTTGAAGTGATACCGCTTTGGATTGCTCTTCACGAGACTATTCATCACTTCTTTTCGGGAATTTTATGATTGAAAGTCCCGCTAAGCCCTGCATGTCGTGGCATTCGAAAGATTTGGGAGTGATCAAGCCCTATTTTTGTGATTCACCGAAGAATGATTTCCCTTAACGATAATGCTGATCGTTCTTGCCTTGTTACGCACTAATATATTGTCTTTATGTGTTTTTAATCATCTTCATTGACCATTTTTTTCATGTTCTGAATGATTGATGATTTTCACCAATTTTCGCATGTCTGCAGGAAAATCGTGGAGCTCGAGGAAGAATTGAGAGTCGTTGGCAACAACTTGAAATCCTTGGAGGTGTCTGAGGAAAAGGTGAGTTGTAGTGGAAAGAACGAAAAGAATTGCATTCACGTGTTCTCTCATGGGAATAACTTGGAAGTCGAAACATTCTGGAGTTGAGACCATCTCTTTTGACCTTTTTGCAGGCGACCCAAAGGGAGGAGGAATTCGAAAAGCAGATCAAATCGTTGACTTCTCGCCTCAAGGAGGTAAGTGTGATTTGGCTTGATGTGTTGCTGACATTCTGCTGAAGTGTCTTTTTTTGTGTTATTTTAGGCTGAAGCTCGTGCTGAATTTGCCGAGAGATCGGTGCAGAAACTGCAGAAGGAAGTGGACAGGCTCGAGGGTGAGGAATGTTTAACTTTTTCGATTACCTTTGTCGTCCCTCAGTCTATTTTCGATTCAATCAGTTGCGATTCAGTTCTTGTGTTCAGCGATTTTCTAGTATTTCATTGATTTGAATTGACTCTTTTTGTTTGTTCGGCGTTTGTGTGTGTGTGTGTGTTTGCAGACGACTTGCTCGTGCAGAGGGAGAAAAATAAGCAGTTGAACGAGGAAATGGAAGCCACTTTGCAGGATATCCAGAACATGTAAATTTTACTCTAGCTTCGAAATAGATCTTTTCTCGCTCAGTCTTTTTTCCACGTGGGTTTTTTTTTTTTTTACGCTTGTGATCTCACCAGATTTTCTTCTTCTCTTGTGCGTGTTTTTTTTTAGCTCGTTGCTTGTTGTAGCATTATTTTCGAGGCTGTTGTTGAATGAAACGATGACATTTATTTTTGTGGTGTGTGAATGTCCGTGCGAACATTTGTGTTTGATGTGTCCAGAAAGTTACTAGGCAGGGATCTTTTGTAACTTGATTTGCTGTACAGTGAGACCCCTAGATGAGGACATAATTGGTGCATCAAGAGTGTCCCTAAGTTGAGTCTTGATTTGCAATAGACTTACATTATATAATTTTCAATTGGTGTTTCTTGGAAGAAATATTCTTCAGGATTCCATGAAAAAAATGTTTGCCACTCAAATTTTGATTCAGTGAATATATTTTCAGCTCAATAAAGACATATGGAGGATTGAATAGTGTATCTCTTTACTGTACTTTGAAATGGTGGCGTCTACAAAAATAATGTCCGAGTCACAAAAAAAAGGAGTCTCTATGCAATAAGTAATTTTTTAAATTAGCTGAATGGATGGGAAAATGATTGGAGTAATGTCAAAAGATTTTTCTTGTATACATTCTAGGGTTGGAAATATGTGTTTCTAGTAATTTGGCTTGAAATGTATTTGCTATTCTATTACAAAATGTCCTTATGCTGAGTCAGTGTCCTCATGTTGGGCCGTTTTTATTAATTTTTTTTTTGGAAAATAAGTGTCCCTATGTTGAATTGTCCATAGGTCAAGGTGTCCGCATGTGGGGGTCTCACTGTATTCTGCTTAGATGTTGCTGGCAGTCATGAAAGCACTGTTTTATTTTTTCAAATGCTCTTATTTGGACTGTAATTTGCTTGATAAATTTTTGTATGTGGAATGTTGTTGATGTGATCCAATAACTTTTTCAATACTCCTGCACAATTTCACAAAAATGATGTTTTCATTATTCAGGCCTTGTGAACTGTGATGACTGTAAATATTTTGCTTGTATGAAGTTGTGTGCAGTGTAACTTTCTGGACACCAAATGCGAAGGTTGGATTAGAAATAATTTTTTGCTTGAGAATACATGTAATTCTGCAAATATATGTAGCGTTCTGAATTTGGAATTGCTTGCGAACCTCAACTTGTTGAATTTTTTTAAATCTATAGTAATGATTCATGGAAGTGTTTCTGAAATTTCATATTGTTTGAAGAATATCGAAGTGGAAGCTCCGAGGTACGGACGTCTGGGCATGTACATGATTCGACTTACGGACGTTTGAGATACAAGCCGAAATTTCTAGGAGAAATGGAAAATTTTATATATCTTTCGAAGCAATTCAGCTACAGTATTTATTTTCGAAACAAATTAGAAATAAATCGTGTTACGAATTTACTTCGATTGCTGATTGAAAACAGGCTAAGAAAAGTGATTGCTAGCTTGTTCCTTTTTGGTCTCTTTCACATGCTGAAACTGCAGATTGTGTCTGTGCGGAAAAAACAGTTTTTTATTGGAAATTTTTGAAGAAGCAATTATCTTGGATAAAATATGATTTGACGTGGGGACACGATTACGTCCGCATCTTGGGGCTCCACTTTACGGTAATTTTTATTAATATCCCTAGGAACCATATTTGAAAATATTACAGTGAAAAGCCATTACAGTTTTGTTTGTAAGAGATTCGAAATTAGTTTGTCTGTCTCGCTTTTGAAATCAAACTTCCGCACCCGAATGGTTCCTGTCTTGATTGAAAAAATTCTGTCGTGTTTGTCTGTCTGCTCTATAAGAGGAGGATTCTCAACAGCTGCTCTGTTGCTCTTGCTTTCGAGTGCGAACTTCCTTTTTTGGATGCTGTCCGAGTTTATAAATGTGATTCCTTCTTTTTATTGATGCCATGCAGATGATGTCGTGAAAGAGCGAGAGAAATACAAGGGCCTGACGGACGAGTTGAGCAAAACATTCACGGAAATTTCGGGCTATTAACCCCGAACGCTGGTGGATTTCTGCAACGTAGCAGAAAGCAAGAAAAAAACAAAGTCTCCTCATATCCTCGCACTGTTTTCTCGAAATCTTCTTTTTTCTGCGCGCAAAAAAAAATTGCTCGTCATTTGTCTCTGTCCTCAATTCTGCATTTGCTCCTGCAACCCCGATGACGTTTGTGCATATGTTATTCTATCGCGGAATGACTGTTTTTTTTTTTGTGTGTCTGTCTTCCTTTTTCGTCACGGTATGTTGCCATTATCGAGGCACCGCACGACTGCACAAAAGAAATAACTCTTTCATAGGAAATCGTGTAACGCTCTATTCCATCTGTTTTCACCTCTTGGCTTTTTTTTTGTGTGTGACCAAGTATGTGTAGATGAGAGAGAGGAGTGGATGAGTAGGATATTTATTCAGGAACAAGTTGTACAGAAGCTTGCTTGTCCTCGTGGATGGTGCGGTTTTTTTTTTGTGTGTGTGAGTCTGGCTTTTGTTTTTTTTCCTGATCACGAGGAAGGAATCAAATGGAAACGAGTCGTTTCTTGCGGAACAGAAGTTTTTTTTTTGCAATGATTTTTCTCTTCGAGTTTGTGGGAAGAACATTATAGGACTGAAATTCATTCATGAAGTCATTTGTGTTTTTTGAGAATTAGTTTTCAATACAGATGGACTATCTCTACACTGAAAGTTCAAGGGACCAGAACAAATGTGTTTTTGAGAGGAAAATTCAAGAGAGAACATTGTAAGAAACCCCAGTGGGATGGAAGATGTTTTTGTTATGTGGAGAACATCGTTAAAGGAATGATTGATTTTTGTAGTGAATATCCTCCTGTATATAGCCAATTTCTGGTCAAGGCAAGATTTTTCAAGGTCCCCCAAGTGTTGTGTTGTTAGAAGGATCATCATTGTTCTCTCTCTATTGTCTTGAATGATTGTGGTAACTTTTCCAGCAGCAATTTTTCATGATTGAGACACAAAATTTGGAGTGTAAATTACTTTAGAAATGAGGGTGCAGATAATTTCACACTGGACATTTATTCAGGCATTAGCCGACACTTCCAGAAAACTGCATGTTGGAAATGGGGAAAGGTAAAAGTAGTATCTGGTTCAATTAAATTTGTAAAAGAGGCATGGATGATTTTCTTGATACATGTTTTGAAGTGCAAACATGACTTGTGAAGTTGTGATGCATTATATACATATAAGCATTTTTTTGTTGACTAAGTTTATCTGAACAATTCCTGCATGGATTTGTAAGGGAGGATGTTCAAAAAAACTTGCAATTTTCAAACATCACAAGACTTTCTTGAGCATACAAATAACTTGTTTCAACATGCGTTTTTCCTAATTAATTTTTTTCATCAAATCCCTTAACCCAACATTCCTGAACCATTTTTGAAAGGATGTTCAAGGTGAATTTTAAAGAATTTATGTTGAAAAAAGTTTGTTATACTGAAATAGTTGTTGTAACAGTATTAGTTGTGTTGAGATTTTACAGTATAACCCATAGTCTCTATAAAATATATGAATATACAGTACTATGCTAGGATGCAACCATGGAAAAATTCATTGCCACAAGATTCCTCTTCAAAGAATTCTACTGCATGTAAAGTGAGACCCCAAAATGCGGATGTAATTGGTGCATCAAGAGTGTCCATAAGTCAAAATGTCCCTAAGTCAAGTCTCATTTTCCCAAAGACTTACATTATATAATTTTCAATTGGTGTTTCATGGACAAAATACTCAGCATAATTCCATGAAAATATAAATTTTCGGCCAATTTAAACTGATTCCAATCAAAATATATTTCAATACAATATGGAAATTTGAGGAATTGAATTCTGATACCTCTGTAGAGCAGATATAAATGTTGTCATACTCTGTAAAAATAACATTCAAGGGAAAAAGAGAGAAGGAAGTCCCTCTCTGCTGGAGGTAATATTTTAAATTAGCTCAATGGATGGTGAATTGGTGATAGAAGTGACCAAGAACTTTTCTTGCATCAATTTTATGTTTCGAAATATTTGTTTCTTTTTATACTTTGGCCTGAAATTTATTTGCAGTTTTATCACAAAATGTCCCTATGTTGAGTCAGTGTCCTCATTTTGGGCCTATTTTATTAATTTTTTTATTAGAAAATTAGTGTCTCTATGTTGAATTGTCCGCAAGTCAAGGTGTCAAAATCTCACTGAATATGTACTGTCTAAATGGATGTAACATGATCTGACCATGTTCATGCATGAATCAGTAGCATATACTGTACTGTACACACATGACCTATGAATAACATACTACACAGCAGTCATCATGTCCTGCATTACAATAACCCATTTTCATCCGGACCATTTATTATTGTCCTCCCCGCCATCATCTATAATATACTGTAATGTACAGTACAGTACACTATACATAACCTAATGTGTGCCGTTTAGTCATGCAACCCACGTCTTCAGTGTTGCCATTCATGCAGTCGTGTTTTTAATGCTCTTTCTGGATTCCTGGAATATTATAAGGACGAGGGATAATATTCATCGATGCAGGTACGCGGAATGCACCAGGAAGCACCAGCATGAGACTATATATACAGTATTCACCCTCCATATAAAATATATCTAAAAATATATATATATATATATAAATAAATGTATGAAGGGGTTGATGAATCGCACTTTTCGACGGGGGTTATTTCTCCTGGTCCTGCGACGGTATGCTGCTGCATGGTGGTGATGGCTGCTGGAGATGAGGATGACTGCTGCTGCTGCTGGACGTTGTTGATAAGGCTGCTGCTGCTGCTGCTGGTAAGAGTGGGAAAACGGAGGGGTTGGTGGGGGTATATTACGTGGCGGTGGAGGTGGTGCGATGGAGATACCACTATATATACTGGCCAGGTTCCCTTCTGCTGCTCTTTTACAGAATAGATCTGTGTGTGTGTGTGTGTGGCTGGCTGGCTGGCTTATCGCCGCCTTTGTGTGTTGCGCTGTTTTCCGGGCAACTGCTGATAACGTTGTCGCGGCTTTGCTTGGTTATATATTTCCCTGATGCTTATTTTATATATGTATAGAATATACTCGAAGCTACATATAGTTGCTGAGGGAGAAAAAAAAAGTGGGACGGGGTTTGCAATGATGCTTAAGATGCAGTGAAGTGAGTTCCCCACAGCATGCAGACACCTGCTTCACATGAGGACAATTCAACATAGGGACATGTTTTTTTTAAAATAAAAAGGGCCAACATACAGACACTGACTCAGCATGAAGATGTTGTGTGAGAAAAATTGACAATGAATTCCAGGAAAATTGACTTTTGTTTCGGTTGATTGCAAGAAACAGATATTTCCAACCCTAAAATTTATGCAAGAAATTTTTTTTTATCATTTCTCCAATAATTCTTCCTTCCAAAAAAAAAATACTTCTTGAATAGAAGGGACTTCCTTCTATATTTGTGACTTGAACACTACTTTTGTATAGGCCAAAATTTCAATGTGAAGTACAGAGATACACTATTCAATCCTGCAAATGTTTTTATTGGGTTGAAAATATATTCACTGCATCAAATTTGAGTGGCAAACAATTTTTTCATGGAATCCTGAAAAATATTTCTTCCATCAAACACCAATTGAAAATTATATAAGGTAAGGCTATGAGAAAACAAGACTTGACTTGGGTACAATTATACTGAGGGATACTCTTGATGAACCAAATATGTCCACATCTTGGGGTCTCACTGCATATACCCTATTATAAACTGAATGACTTATAAATTCTTAATATACAATAAAATCTCATTGCAGCAAATACCATTGAAAAAAAATTAACAGTATAACATACTTTTTTCAAAATCCCAACCTATAGGGCATTCTTGTTACAACAAACTTGCCAATTCCAGCATGACAAACCTCTTTGAAGAACATGTTTTGATTTTGCTAATACAGTATAAAGAATCCCTAATGAGGGCAGGCACAGTTTCAAATTCTCCATTCAAAATGTAACTGCAACTGGTTCTAGGGACATATCATGGAATCTTGGACAAAAATGCTTTACAATTCACTGGAAGATCCTCTCTTTCAAAAATGTATCCTTTGGGTTAGGAATGATGGGGGGGGGGGGGATACAAAATGAATCCAGTAAAACTCATGTTGAAAGGGGCTGGTATGCTTGAGAAACCCTACTGCTGAGGCTTGAAAGTTTTAAGCTTTTTTAGAACATATCCATCCTCAAAAATCTGTACAGGAATGCTTTATAAAGAATTTGAAATCAAAGAAAATGCTATAGTATTCACCTATTATACGCCCTAAACGTTATTAATATCCAAATATATTTTTGAAGATTTGTTTTTTAAGCAATGAAACACCTCTGAAAAACAAGTTACATGATGAAGATGATGAATATATGCAGGCTTAAATAATAAATCTTCTGATCAGTTGAAAATGTTGAAAATCTTGTTTTAACAAATTATTTTTGTAAAAAACTTTGCTGAAGTACCCCAAAAGTTGGTTTTGGTGAATTCAAAGGAGCAGTCAAACAAAATTTACTTTTGAGAATATGAGCAAGGGGAACTAATAGTTTTGCAATAAAAAAGGAGAAATTCAAGTAAATGGAAATTACTGTATATATGGATTCAGCAGGCCATGAGTTTATCTGCCCAACTATTCTTTCACTTCCTTTCAAAAAGCATCAAGTTGCATTTGTAGTTATTTTCTCTTTACTGATGGGGCATACACATTAATATCCCAAATGCATCTACAAAATGCTAAGTCACAAAGGGAAGCCATTGAGTTATAGAGATATTTTTGATAAATTATGTGTTTCTAAGATGATTCAGACAGAGGCTTCAACTAATTTGGAATAAGGAGGTAATTGACCTTTATGCAGGCTGAATTTATTGCAGTTCAACTGTATGATCAAAAGTGTACCAAGCCAGGTTTGTTCATGAGTCATGACAAAGTAATCTTTTCAAAGACTTCAGAAGGAGTAATAAAGTAGCAAATTTTGGATTGTGCCCTTTTTGAATCATATGGTCACACTTGATTAGCTGTATCTTATTCATCACACTTGCTGTTATCATCAGCATGGCAGTCCATTACAAAGTAGATCTATACCACCAGCAGTGCACCATTATAAGCATGGTGGGTTATCTTTACCTTTGAAAACCCAACTGAGAATCATACCAGCTGATTGAATGGGATAGTTTCCCTGTCTATGAATTGTATGTGGATCCCAGGTTTCCTGTGTCAAGCTCTGTTGAATTCCATCATATGGGACTCATCCAATTTTCATTGCTATCCTAGTTTGTGAGTGGGTGACAAAACATTAATTTCTTGACATAAATAATGTAAAGAAATCTTTCTTGATGTCAGGAATTATGCACTTGAAATTTATTGCTGGTATTATCAGGATTAACATCAGCAAGTTTTCTGATATAGGGATTGATTCATCAATATTTTCTCTGGGGAAAAAATACATAAATTATAAATATTCTGACATCTATGTGGTTTACTTTGAACACTTTCTTCTTTCTATTTTTTTGGATTTCAAAAATAAATTAAAAAAAGTAATTTATAAGAACAGATTATCACTCTCAATACTTCTCACATTTAAGAGGTGGAGGCCAAAGAAAATTCT